GGATCTGGGACACCTCTGACTGAGAATCACTGATCTAGCATAGGGCACATGAAGTATGGCAGCAGGGACTGAGAATATTGGTTGACACTCCAAGTCAGCCATTTAAAAGAAATTAAAATAGATTTCTTCTCCTACCCTGGGATGGAAAAATGAAGGAAGGCAAGACTGTCCATATGCTGGAACAGTGTCCCTGTAGCTCATCTGCACTTTTTATGGTGGTCTGGGCCTCTTGTTTGACACTCCCTGAGGCTGATAATTGGTTGTCAATCATGCCTGAAGACTCCTCTCCTCTCCTCTGGATTGTGTGGGTTGCTGCTGCTGCCATTACAAATAAAAAGGGCAGGCATCTGTAGCCCTCTTTTCCCTCTTGCAACTCAAGTGAATCAAATGCAAGCATAATAACAACAACAACGATGACGACAACAACATACAAAAATGGTTTTCTGTTGGAGTCTCTGGTTTGCTTCCTGATACCTAGGGGCTGTCTACACTAGTAAGTTTTTACAACATACTAGCTAACACAGTTTAAGTAACTTCAAAGCAAGTTAGACAAGCTGAATTTGGTGTGCCAAGTGACTGAAGTGAATCCTAGGGAGAGTTAAAAGTGATCGGTCTTTGCACCGAGTAATTCAAAGTAGATGCATCTGGATGTAACTGGCCCTGAGTACCTTGCTACACTGAAAATTCTCTGCTTTTATGTTGCCTGTGCTATAGGATGCATAGTATCACAAATATACATCTTTTCTCTCTTGGGAGCCTCAGCCTCACCTTGACCAGTTCACATACCCCATCGGCACTAGCATTATTTTAAAATACATTTTAAGAATACCCCTTTTATCCTAGTCTAGACATGCTTCTTATCTGATATCCTGCCTCTCTAGAAAGTACAACAGGGCACAGGGGAAAAATATTCCTTCCTGACCCCCCACTTCTGCCAAGTGAAGCATATTAAACCCTCTGGCATGAAGCTCAACAACTTCTTATCATTTTGTAGGTCTGAAGTATCTAGAGTCCAATCCAGTACAATACAGGTTTCCCTCGCTTTATGCGGGTTCTGTATGTGCGAATTCGCTTATGTGATGACCCTTTTATACCAAAAATTTGTTATATGCGAGGTAAATTCACTCTGATGCAATTGGTGGAAGCCCACAGCTAGCTGTTTTGTGCAGTGCACTGTGGGAGTGACATGAACCAAAGTGTAGTCTCCTGTGTGATCTGTGCTCCTCATTCATTGTCTGAGAGACATGTTTCTGTAGTTACCATCCCCATTATGGTAAATTTCACCACCACCCTGTGCTTGTGTACACCATCTACTGTTGGTGAGTACCAAAATTGTCTTGTAAAAGTGGTAGAAATGGGTCTGGGGGTCAGTACAGTCAATATCTTGAAACATATCCCTATTTGTTACATTGTAAAATGGGTTCCCTTTATGTGAATTAGAGTTTTGTGCTGTTTTCCAAGAACACATGTACAGCATAAAGCGAGGGAAACCTGTATGTGAAAAAGTTTAAAGTCAACAATGGGCTAGTTGGAGGCATATAAAACAGCTGAAAAGTGGATTTCTGGGATGTGCAACTGAACTCCCTGACCCATCCTTCAAAGTCATTTGCAAGGGATGCTCTGTGACCTGGAATAATGTAACGTGACAGCACTTCAGTAAGTTTCCTATATTTAAATTGCAGTGAGTTTATTCTTTGCTCAGCATCCATAAGCTCTTCCCTTTTTCCACAACTGCCACAACTACTGCAGTTCCTCTCCTTCCCCAGAACATGTCACAAGCACTATACAATCCTGAAGCAACAACAAATGGCAAAACATCTCCAGTGATGCAAATGTTGGGATCTTATCTACTCAGAAAAATCTATTTATCTCTACAGAGCAAACAAAGAATACTGACTCCACTGTCCAAATTTTACCAATAAGCAGGAAAACCTTTCTTTCTATTCTGTCATCCAAGCAGCCCCAAATATTTCTGATGTGTTTCTTACCTTTCATGTGTCTTTGAGACCGTATTATATGTAGCCATGTAACTTGGGCTGTGACTCACTTGATATCTTATAAGTGGGGCTAGGCTACCTCAACCCTGTTTGGGCAGCTTCATGTTTTGATACCAGTCTGACTTAACGTTTTTATTATTGAGCTTGGCACAATAAATTAGTGTGTTAATGAAACTTGCTAATGACACAGTAGTATACAGGAAAAATGGGATGACCTTGAGGACTTGAGTAATGGAAATAGGATACATTGAGCACTAAAATGGAAGATCATACATCTGGAACTAACAATAGGAATGTCTGCTATAAATCATGATTTTATTGATTGGATATGACTGAGGAACTCTGGGGGTACTAGCTGATCACAGGATGACTATGAGGTGCCAATGTGAAATGTCAATGTAGAAGGGAAATTAATGTATTCATTGCAGTACTTTCAGCAGAGGTAGGTAAGTATTACTGTGCTATAAAGCACTGATAAGGCCTCATTTGGAATAGTCCATAATTTTTGGTCACCCATGATGAAGAAAGATGAATTATAATTGGAATGGGTGCATAAAAAGATGATAACCAAGGGGAGAGGAAGGCTATCATAAAAGAGGAAATGAGAAGAGCTGTGCCTGTCAAAAGGAAGGCTGAAAAGGGATATGATTACTGTCTAGAAACACATGGTTAAAATTGTTTCTGGGAGGGAAACACAATATACATTTAGGCTGGAAACTAGAGGAAGGTGTCTAACCATCAGAGCAGTGATGTTCTAGAAGACTTTTAACAGTAGTGTGTGTGTGTGTATTGGGGAGATATGAGGTAGGGGGGAAGTGTGGAAAAATGTAAATACTTTTAAGATGGAGCTTGAAATTGATTGTTTGATGGTACTGCATGCATAGTAGGGCCCTGAACTTGAAAACTTGAGAGCTCCCATTCAGTCTCGTGTCCCTTTGTATAGATTAGACCCAACAGTATCCTTTTAGGCCATTTCTAGATTTAGAAGGGGTGCTTTCAAAATGTATTGACTAACACCTTTTTAATCAGCATGTTTTAACCACACTACACACAGTGTAAAGACAGTGTTTAGGGCCACCCCCTCCTCCCCCAAAAGCATACCGTACTAGTAGGCTGTGGACCAAAGGGTTAAACAACCTTTTTGTTTCCAGCGCAGATCATCCAAAGCTATTATGCTCTTGTAGGGCTTAACAGAAGGGCTTGAAAGGGTGGGGGACCCAGGATAAACCAGTCCCTTTTCTAGCATGTTAAATAAAGACAAATAACAGTTAACAAAGTCATTCTGACAAAATTCCCTCCCCATCCCACTTTTTTTTGCATCCAGGCCTTTGTGATACTGTAATCTTACTGGTTCTTCCATTTATCATTGAAAAGACTTATGCTACCTGGACAAGAGGTGGAATTCCCTTCACTGGAGATTTCTCCAGGATATCTCTCTGGGACCTTCCAAGTATCTTGTGTACTGCCTCAGCACAGGGAGATGGGCTGGATAGCCTTTTGAAGTCTCTTGTAGCCCTACATTTCTGGGATTATGAAGACTTCCATGAGTAGACAAGGCCTGAATATCATGTAAAAAAAAAAAAAAAAAAAA